GCCCAGCTGACGCCCTCAGCTGCTGTCCTGTGGCCTGGAGGAACGAGCCCGAAGCGGTGGGGCCACAGCTCCGCCACCTGCCTCCCTCCTCCCACCCAGACAGCATCCCTGGAGCTGGGAGCAAAGGCTCCCCACAGACCCACCTGGACGGACGTCACAGGATGTCTCCCATGCGAAAGTCAGCCCTTCTAGCTGAATTCTGATTTCCCTCTCAGGAGAGTCAGACATCTCCCCATTACATGAATTCAATCGCTATCAGGAAGAGCTCTTTGGACAAAGAGGGAGAGGAAGTGACTTTTTCCTGCTTGGTGCCAGTAAGCAATATTGAACGTGGTCCTAGCAAGCCTGGGAGGCGGGTGCCGCTCCCCATCCTCTGGGCTGTGGCAGAGCTGTGGGCTGTTCTGGGCCAGGTGACATGCCTGTGGCGTGCTCTACTCTGCCCAAGGCTGACCCAGGGACTGTGCCACTTGTCTCTTACCAGGTACGACCCGGGTTCTCAGTGCACCACCGTCACCTGCTGTGCCTGTTAAAATGCCTCGGCCCCAGGGAGAGTGAGTTGGTGGGGACCTCTGATGGGGTCCTGGAGTAGCTTCTTAACTATCACCCCAGACACTCTTGATGTACTTAGATCCAGGGGCCTGCTTTGAGAAACGCTGAGTCGTTGGCTGATCACGTTGCAATTGTGTACAGTAGTATCTGTCTATGTGTATTAGTTCCGTGTGGTCCTGGAGGGATGGTCGATATAATGTCCCTAGTGCTGGTCTCAGGGGATAAGGAGATGTCAAGATATTTTAGATAAATTTCTCTATGCTTTTCTGTCTGGTTTTAATTGTGTGTAATGCGTGGACAATTTTTATAAACAGATAAAGCCATCGAGCTTTCCTCATGGGCAGGAAGCGCAGAAACGTTATGGCGGTACTATGACCTAGGATGTAGGTGTGTGGGGAATGTGGACAGACGGAACGAAGGCCGCACGTGAATCTGTCTGACCTCAGAGCTGTGTCCCTCTCTCTGTGGCCCCCAACTTTTGCAGAAGAGGGGAAGATCGTACTTCTCATTGTCGCACGGTCTGTTTTGGGCAAAGCCAGGACCAGACTCACACCTGGGGATTTGAGACGGTGGCATGGAGCCTGAAGGCAGGGCCTCCCTTTCCATCTCTGTCGCCAGAGTCCCCAGGCCTGGTGAGCGCCTCCTCCAGCCTGGCCGGCACTCGGGCACCCTGGCCGGCCAGGCAGAGCTGGGGACGGTGATTTTACTGCGCTGTTATTACTCTGTTCTTGCCCAGTAAACCCACACCGGGCCCCACAAACACCGCGTGAGAGGGCCAGACCCTTCCTGAGAAATGGTTTCCTACACCTTTACAATGTGATAGGTGCGGTGGAAAAAAGGGGCCGTTGGATTTATGGAAACTATATAAAGTTTATGGAGTCTTGGCAGGCCAGAGGTAGGAAAGGCCTGGGGGTGGGGGGTGGGTGTTCTGCAACGGGGAAATCCATGGAAGGGCGTCCGACCGCTATGTCGGACAGCAGGCAGCACAGCCCAAGGCCAGGGCATGCTGGAGCCGGGGCGATGGGGGAGAGTGGCCTTATAGGCCCGCTGTCCGGGACGCTTTTGGGGTGACCCCATTGAATCCCACAGCCTGCCTGTGAGGGAGGCTCAGTCACCCTGCTTCTGTAGAGGGGACACCGAGGCCAAGTATTTTGAAAATTGTGAACTTGACCAAGGTCGCCCGGCAAATGGTGCGTGGCTCTCACGTGGATGTTCTGGGCCAGCCTAAATTCATGCACTCTCTCTCCTGTGTATTGAGCGACGTGTCCCAGTTTCAGGTCCAGAAAATGTGGTCTCTGCCTGATTTCAGTTCGGGACTCGTCTGTCATTTATGATTTAGTCTCATGGTCCCCCCGTATCTTCAGTCACCACCTTGCCCTCCCATGGGTCACCTTTGCTGGCGAAGCCGATCTGTGCTCAGTTTCGCCCACTGGCCATGGCTGGAATGGAAGTGAAGCCTCCCTGAGACTGGCTCTGGGTCAGGGCCGAGCTGGGAACGTGGTCCTTGCCTTCGGGAGCCCCGCCGTGCCCCATGTGTACCGTGGCATCCCCTTAGAGTTCCTGGAGGGGTGCCCCACGGGGGTCTAAAATCATCCTTTCCCGTCCCTTCAGTCCTGGAAACTTCTGATTCATTTCTTGGTACATGTAGAGCTTCGCGGTACCCGTGTTTTCTCTCCTACTTGGCTGTGAATTCTTGCAGTGCCGATTCTGTGAATGCTTAATTCCTTATCTCTGATTTTGCCTGCAGGGTCTGGCATACTTTCTGGCATGTAATGATCGCTGAATAAGTATCAGATGGGTGGGTGGATGGATGGACAGAAGAATGGATGGGTGGATGGATACATGGTTGTGTAGAAGGATGGATGGATGGGTGGATGGATACATGGTTGGGTGGAACAATGGGTGAATGGATGGGTGGGTGGATGGGTGGGTGGATGGATAAGGCATATATATAGACTCATAGACACCCACTTCCTCATTTACACCTTTCTGCACAGTTTAAGCAGCAGGCTAACCCAGATTCTCTCAGGCTTCCCCTGAATGCACTTCTGTTTCATACTTTGCTCTCTCTGAAGCCATATGGAGAAACCAGCCTGAGTGTTTGAATGTGTGTGTAAATACTTTACAATCCCCATAAACTTGTTTAAAGACAGTTGGGGGTGAAAGTATAAACCGGGGCAGCCTTTTGGGAGGGCAATTTGGAAGTAGCTATTAAAAGTTTAAATGTGCCCACCACCAAGACCCGGCAGTTGCACTTTTGGTTGTCAGGCCCGAGGAATTACGTCCGTAGGCTTGTGCACAAAGAACCACATACCCCGGAGGCTGGAACAAGGATGCTCATAACAGTGAAAATCAGGAAATACCTGAGGGGCCTTCAACAGAGGGATGGTCACTCAACTATGGGACACCCTTCCTATGGAAAAGCTGCAAAGGCTAAAAGGACTCACATGGGGCTTGGGGCAGGGTGTCTCCAATCTTCTAGAAAGCTCTGCGACTCTGTCAGCCCAGCTCTCGGCAGCCCTCCCTATCTCGTTTCTCTCAGCCTCTTTTCCTTTCTCCTTCCTCTTCCTCCCCACGAAGCAGTTTACCGGAATTAGACATTTAATCCTCGTGCCTGCCTGCCAGTGGCCGTCCCTTATAGAAAAGGAGGAAAATGAGAGAAAATCGGTCATATAAAGCATAATGACTGTCGGCTGGCTCTTCAATTAAAAAGATTGAAAGGCACAATATTAAAATTTGATTTATGGGCACCACTATCTACCCAATAATGAGGCTGAGCGGAAAAAGGAACCACAGTCGTTAGAGAAAACTGTAGCCTTTTTTTCCCCCCGCAGGAGATAAATGGCCTCTCATTTTCTTATTGCTAAAGAAATGTGAAATGGCTTTAGGCATGTGTGATGTGTTCTTCCAACGTGCTGAAACCCAGAACCTGGCAATTTGGGAGCCGGCTGACGCCGACATTTCCAGTTTCCTGAGAGGTGTGGCTGCGTGAGCCACAGGGCCCGCTGCCGGTCCACCGAGCGCCCGACTCTGGGATGGCACGGCACCATCTCAAGGTTCCCTTCGGGTCCTAGGGCGCCAAGCCGGCTCAGGACACAGAGCTGTCCGGGAGGAGGATAAGGCCAGAGTTCAGCCCCAAGTCCCAGCTCTGCTGCCTATTCGTTATTCGGTGCCCACCTTTTTCAAATGCACACTAGGAGCCTTAGCCTTAGCCATTGTGTGGCTTCCAGCAAGAGGGCGCCCCAGGAGTGCCCCGCCCGCCTGCAGGGGTGGCAGGAAGGATTACATTAGCAAATGCGGGTCAAGTGCCTAGATGGGCACCTGCTGCGTAGCGAATGCTCAGTAAATATTTTTAAGTCGTTATCATTACCATTGCGGATGGTTTTGCCATACTTGGAAGACCTAGGATTCAAACCCAGGCCTCCCATTTCCAGGTGCCGACTGAGGGGCAGACAGACCTGGGGGTGTTGCCCAGCTCTGCCTCGCCAGCAGGTGCCCTGGGCGAGTCATGGCACCTCTCTGAGCCCCATTTTGTTCATCTGTGAAGCAAATTTCTACTCTGCAGGCGGTGTCAGTCAGGTTTAAAGGTTAATGGAAACAAAGTGTCCAGGACACAATTAGTGCTGGCTAGATGGCAGCAACCCTTGAAAAGGAAAGATCTTTCCTGAGAAGACTGTTTGGGAAAGGCTGTCCCCTGGGAGGAGCGACCTGCATCTGGTTTCTGTCCTCCTGGCTCATGGAGGCTCTGCCGCAGACTCCTGCCGAGCTCTCCCTTCCAGGACGGGGTCCAGTGCTCCCTGGCTCTAGAAATAGCAATGACCAAAAAAAAAAAAAAAAAAGGAGCGGGCGTTGTGCCAGGAACCACGTTGCGCTGACGTGCAGGATCGCAGGTATCTTCCAGCAGCTGGAGGTGAGCAGGTCAGACATGGGGACGGGTGACTGGCCTGAAGACTCCAAGCGGGGAGACGGCAGGGCCGAGGGTCCAGCCCAGGGCTGCTGCTCTGTCCGCCACACTCTGGCATGTGCCAGAGCCTGCGCCCCAACCCCTCGCCGGCCTCCACTCTCTCGCCCGTCTCTCCCGTGCCTCAGCTCCTCAGCCCCATCTCTCCTCCCAGGCCGGGGTGCAGCCCCGTCACCTTGCGGGTCAATTTGTATCTTAACCACCAGCACTTCTTCAGCTGGAGGCTCAGGTGCCCAAATGTGCACTGTTAGGTTGTGTAGGATGTGTCGTTCTCTGTGGGTATTTCATCTATTTAAGATGCTGGGGTGCGGGGCTGGGGAAAATGAATTCTAGGTGCCACCAGACCCCTGGCCACTGCCTTGCATAAGTACACGGGGCCCTCTGGGGCTCTGTCTGCCATGCGCCTAGGATCCCGGATCCTTGCGAAGAAGAGGGTGCGGTTTTGCACATATTTCTTTCTGCCCAGCTGATGGTGTTTCTTTGTTTTCAGTTGAGAGGGAAAATGTGCAGAAGAGGACCTTTACTCGATGGATAAATCTACACCTAGAGAAGGTAAGTGGGGTGCCTGGGCTTTGGTAGCTGATGGGTTCATCCATAACTGAGCGTACGGTTCAGGAGTCCGGCGAGGGGGCACGGTGGCTCTGTTTTCCATTGTTGCTGTTGTTATTGCTGTTCATTCATTGGAACATCTATCATTCTCACTGCCTGGTGTCGAGCTCCGTGCTGGGAACACGGAGGTCCGTAAGGCACAGTTCTGTCCCCCACCGCCCCAGGGCTGTCCGTCTAGTTGGGGAGAGAAAGGTCTGTCTTTTTTTTTTTCCCCCATGGTAAAGGCTACTTTATTTGTGGCTGTTAGTACTAGTCCAGGAGTATTGATCCGCAAAGAACTCAGTCGTTTCTCGGCTTACTGGGCCATAGAGAGCTGAATGCAATGGGACCAGCTGATTGCTGGGAGGGTGACCTGAAGCTGGTCCTGCTCCTCGGGACGTGAAGCACAGCCAGCTGATACCAGGCACGCGCTGGCCCGCCAGGTGTGAGAATCAGGCAGCCCCATACAGGAGGCATCGGTCACCCCGCCCTTTACGTGCACTGGAATTCCATTACCCTCCTGAAATAGCTTTGGTTTTTCTGGAACTTTTTTCCAAACTCTCTGTGTGAAGCATCGTTTATGGTCCCTGGGTGAAGAGCCAGCAGATTCTGCAGCTTGTCAGCTCAGTGACTGCCCACCAGCCGGGACCACTGAACCCCAGGAATGACTATCGCCACACCCCGAAAAGTCTATCTTTCAACAGAAACGACGAGCAAAAGTTAGAAGGCGTTCATTGTTGCACAACCCAAACGCTCCCATGGACAGGAGGCAAGAGGGTTCTTGACTTCCGGTGGGGGAGGCTCTCAGAGAGAGCCTTCTATAGGAATTTGGATTGATTTAACGCAAGAACCCTTGACACCTTTTCACAAAGCCAGAATCCCTTGTTAATCACGTAATGTTGCTATGGATCAGTCATATTACCTGACCCTTCAGGGCGTGTACCAGGAGCCCTACTTAGTGCACCACACATTCTCTTTTCATTCCCATAACAACTCTCATTACCTCCCCACCCGTACCCCGTTATGAATAAGGAAACAGGCTCAATGACTTCCTGCCGTCCCACCACCGAGAAGGAAGCGCTTCCTCTGGCTGCTGCGGATCCAGCTTGGTGACTCTTCTTGCCCCTTTTCTTTTCTGTCTGATGTCCTCTGGCCCGGCAGTCTTGAGCTGCATTTTGTCTGCAAGTTTCTCAGGCTGCGAAGCAGAGGAAAAAGGATGAGGGGCGAGCGGACCAACAGCTCAAGTGAGAACTCCCAGCCCGCCTTACATGCTAGGGCAGCCCCTGACCCTGACCAGAATTCTCTGTGTTGCCCGGGGCTGGGGCTGGGGCAGGAGAGATCCCTTTTCTCTTTGTAAGAAAGCTGACCTACCAGGATTCATTCCACTCACTTCATTTCATTCTTCTGAAATTCCTCCATCTGCTTCTCCAAGTAGACCCAGCCAGCAGTCTCCTTTCAAACGTGGCGGTATTCAAGCGCCCCACATGAGTGAGTTCAGGCCGGTAGATTTCCTCCTCTCCTGTCTTCTTAAAAGGTACAAGCGGAACTATTGACTGTCCTGAGAGTTAACCCAAATGGAGGTTCTCAGAGGGAGCCATTGAAATGATTAGAGAGCAGAGAAAATAAATGCGGCTTTTAGGAAGTGGAGCTCTTGACCGAAATCCTCATTCATGGAGTTGACTTTTTGGGGCCTGCGATATTTCCTGAGCAGCCCTTGGCCACCCACACCTCTGCGCCCCGCCTGTAGAACGGAACACAGGAGGCTCCCGCGCTCTTCAGGTGAAAGACTACCTGTCATGGGTGAAGTGTTGTAAATCACCTGCCCGTTATTTTGACTATAGGCAGGGCTCATAAATGTGAAGTGTTATTTCTGGAAAAAAGGAAAACCGTTTCCCAAACGCAAGCTCACCGAGCTGCTAAATGAAAGCCCGATGTGTGTTGGGGTAGCTGGGAATTCCTCCTGGTGGATGGAATATGTCTTTCTTTCGTCCTTTTTTTTTTTTTAAATTAAAAAATAAATACAGGGCAGTGCAGAGGGTAATAGAGCAAATGCCCACGCACCCACTCACCACCCCAAATGAGCCTCCGCCAGCATTTATCATATCAGGGCTTTGCCCCTTGGCCACGCTCCGGCTCCTTCCGTGGGGCAGGTGGGTAGCGCCCACTCTGCAGATAAATCAGATAGCACCTGAGCCTGATGCCTAATAAACAGGGCAAAATTAACAGCCACGTTTCCAACCTCGAGACTTTCAAGAACAACCTTTCATGTAAAGGAAACCCAGGAACTCCTTGGGGAATTGGGCTTAACTGCAATTTGAAGGCTGTCAGAAATATTTACCGAGTCTCTGGCTTCTGGCGAAATTCCTTAATTTACCCAAGGAGTTAGATCATGAAGAAAAGCCCTCGGGGTGCTGTTTACTTGGCCAGACCGATCTCGTGAAGCCCGCGGAGCCGCGTTTGGGGCCCCAGGGGTGTTTTCTCTGGAGCCGGTTCAATCTCTCCTCCCGCCATCTCGCAAGACGGCCTGCAGCCAAGGCCCTGTGGGCGGCGGCTGCCACAGAGGTTCCTCCAGACACTGTCCACGGGAGTGATGCTCCGGGTTCCCCTCGAGCACAGGGCTTGTCCACAGTGCGGGCTGGGAACTGGAAATTGTGTCAGTCCGTCGATGGTGGGGGGGGGTTTCGTTCGGGTCCCGTGATATCTGCCTCACATTAACAGGAATAATATTTCCGCAAGAGTCTCCGTAACCTGACGCCCTCATGCTCAGCCTGGAATGTGCCCAGAGAGCTGCGGGAGCTTGCAAAGCAGGGGAAAGAAAACAGAAGAAGAAAAGAAACTAATCTGCCTTTTGGTTCAAAGTCACTGTAGCCCTTGAAGCCAAGTCCTTTTCTGTGCACCTGTGGGTGGAATCGCCTTGTATTTTGACTCACTGGGGGTCAGGGGCTCATATAAAGCCTCAGGAAAAGCCACCTTCCGTAATAAAGAAAGAAAACGTGGGCCTTCTAAGGCTCTCCGGGAAGAAGGCCTTTCCAGAGGGACAGGGCGCCTGGGCCACAGCTCCCTGTTTATACTGACTCCTCATCTCCCCTGTGAGCACCTCCTTTCATTGCACCCAGGAGTGAGAGCACCCAGTCTCACTATCCCAATGCTGCCAAAGGCACCAACTGAGAAGTAAACAGACTCCGTGCTTGGGGTGGGGACTTATTAACATTGCAGGTTTATGGACCCTATTCCTGGAGATTCTGTTTCAGTTAAGTCTTAGCCATGCGCACCAGAGCACTTACTACCAAGCATTAGTCAACAGGAATCTTTCTTCAAGCCAAGCCTTGCCTAGGACCCTAAACAAAGGCCCATAAGAGCTGAGTGTCCCTAATGAAAGGGGTGCAATGGATCAGCCTCCTTCTTGATGCACCTCGGCCCCCCTGAAGCTGTTCCGCTGAAGCCTAGTGTTCCAGGAAGCCCAGTTTGCCGATCCCTGGGCTGAAACCTGTGGCCAACAAGTTCCAGCCTGCCCCGTGGACTCCGAGCCTCATTGAGCCAGACTCTTAGTGGACATGGAGCAGTGTTAGCTCACCTAGACAGCAGACCTCTCTCCAGGTCTAGGCTCAGAGAAGAAAGCTGGGTGGGGGAGGGGGGAGTGGCTTTCAGCCTTCTCGCACAGGCCCTTTCACACTCGGATCCTGTGTGAACAGTTGTCTGTTCCCCCAGGGACAGGGAAGAGCCTGGTGACCTGGGGCTGAGGGTGCCTTCTTCTGACCCAGGGAACCCAGAAAGAGAAGCAAGTGGGGCAGAGAGATGATGCTTCAAGGGTCTTTCCCTGCAGAAGGGCACCCGCTAAGGACATCTCCATCTCAGGACTTGCAGCTGTGAGGCATGCACCCCCCAGTGAAGGGCCTTACAAAAGAGAACCCCCCTACCCCAAGACTCTGCAGGAAGCTGCTTAATAATAAAAGTAGTAAACTGGTCTGACTGATGGTATTGTATTAGTCTGGGAAAGCAGGTGCTGTGCCAGGCGCTTTGCCTGCATGATCTCATTCCATTTTAGCTCCTGTCCTCTGCACTGGGTCAGATGCCTGAACCTGACCTTGTAGACAAGGACACTCAGGCCCAGACAGGTTAAAGAAAATGTCCAAGGCTAAGTCCTGTTGAGGGTAGAACCTGGATTTGGACTGAGGTCTGTCTAATCCCCTTGCTATTTAGTGGAATAGGTGAAAGGTACATCATGAGATAACGGTTTATCTCAGGAAGCCTGGATTTTGTGGAGGAAAAAGGCAGTAATACTCCACTAATTAACATTTTAATACACTTTTAATTAGTTTGATTTGTTATCATGAGCATGTATTACTTTGTATGCCCAACCATATAAATATACATCAACATATACCTATAACTCATCCTCTCAAACTTTTGAGATCCTGACAGACTTACAGACTTGAGGGTGGAAGGAACCAGGCCAGCCGTGTGTCCATCTGTCCCCTGCTCCCTCCCAAGTTGCCCACACGAGCTTCCTTCCTGGCTTCCTCTGCCATGGGTGCCCCACCTGCAGGCTTGGGCTAAATATTGATGGCGTGCCAACTGGCCCCCCAGGAAGGTGCATGTGCTTTGACTAAACCATACTGGAGATGGGGGAGCCCTGCCACAAGCTGGACCCTGGCCCAGAGGGTAACTGCCCCAGGATCGTGCCATCGTGGTGCTGGTCTGAGCTGCACTGCGGTCAGCCAGGGCACCCTGATGAGGCGCAGGGCTGTACCGGATGGCTGACCTCTCCAAACACTGGGCACGCCGCCCAGCCTCTTGGGGCCTCAGGGTCCCCAAATCTGAGGTGAAGGGCTTACACCAGGTACTTGGACATGAGCCCTACTTCTAGAATTCTCTCATTTGGTGGAAGGCTATAACTAAGACATGCCCTTTCTTTCTACCCTTAAGTAGAAACGTGGATATGATGGGATTCTGGGGTCTGAGATCTCCTATAAGGAGTGCCCCCAAGGGTCACATGTTTGATGGGGCCCCCGATGCTGTCTTCTCCACGGCTCCCCAGTGCACCCGCTGCCCAGGTGTCACCTACCGTGGTGGGGGACGGGCTTACGGTCTCCATGGGAGGGGCCTTGCTGCCTGTGGACAGTGGTGGGTGTCTGGAAGTTTCCTCTCCGTGAAACCTGCAGCTGTCATCTAGTTCTGTGGGTCGCACAGGTCGCTCATTGGCTGCTTTCCCCCCTTTTCTCCCACAGTGCAGCCCGCCTCTAGAAGTTAAAGATTTATTCGTTGACATACAAGATGGCAAAATCCTTATGGCTCTGTTAGAAGTCCTGTCTGGGCGAAATCTGGTACGTATGGCACAGGGGTCAGGAAGAAATAAAACACAGGAAAACAGAGATAAAGGTTTCTGTTTAATACAGATCCATATGTATGTGCACATACCTGGCCATAAGTAAATCCTGTGACAAACTGTGAAGGGTGACATTCCTTCCTCAGTGACTAAGATGGATATAATTATGTGCAACTCAGCAGTATCTTTTTATTAGGCAAATATACTTTAGTAAGCAGATGAATAAATGCCTGGTATTTTCTGTGAGTCGGTTGAAGCTAAGAGTGGAACTAGGACATCATAGTTTAACTGGTCAGCCATTGCATTAACCAGAATGACAGCTAGGAAGACGGAGAAGGCATCTTACAATCACATTCTATCATCCATCCCAAAGTCAAAACTAGAACTGCTGGCTTCTAGAACCTTCTTGTACATATGACCAAAATTGAATTGAACTCGCCCATCTTGAGGTTTATTTCACTTTGATCTTAGCCAAACCTGTTCCCATGGTGTGTGTCCGCTGTGCACAGCTGAGTCCTGTCTCTCCTCTCACCAAGCAGGGTTCTCAACATCAGCGCTGTTGGCATTTTGGGTGTGATGGGTCCTTGTGGCGGGGCCATCCTGTGTACTGCAGGGTGTTCAATGGCATCACAGCATCCTTGGTCACTACTCACTGGTAGCCACTAGGATCCCCAGTGTGACAACCCAACATGTCCCTAGAACATTGCCAGAGATGTCCCCGGGGCCGGGGCTGGGGCGGTGGGGGTGGGGGATGCAATGATGTGGCCAAAACGCCCATAGTGTTAATGTTGAGAAACCCTGCTCTAGAATCCAGGGTTTGATTTGCCCTAAGTGACTCCTGGTGGCAGACACAGAGGGGCAGCGATGACCCGTGAGCTTGGCCTGGCAGTTCGTGCCAGGTGTGACTGACACCACTGGTTTGCCTGGGAATGTAAACCACCCACCCAGGGGCATCGTGGGCTTCCCAGTGTGGACAGCTGATGTCGTCCGAGTTTTAGCTGCCTCTCTCCCTCCCCCTTTTTCTTTTTCTCTCCCTCTGCCTCCCCTGCCCCTTGCACTCTCTCTCCTCTCTCTCTGTCATTCTCTGTCTCTCTCTTTCTCTCTCACTCTGTCTCTCCCCGACTCTCTCTGTCTCTGTCTCTGTCTCTGTCTTTCTTCCCCTTCCCTGTCTCCCTGTCTCTCTCTGACTGGGGATAGCTGCTCACAAAGCTCTTGGCCAGAAAACAGGAACATCTGCCCCCCCAGGGAGGAACTTGCCAGATGATTTAGCAGCTGTGCAGTGATGCTCCTGGCGGAAGCTCCGACTCTGACAGAAACCATCAGCCGGCGAGGACAGCACGTCACCGCCGGGCTCTGGAGGAGGGGGGACTATCAAAAGCCAGGAGCTGGGTCAGAGAAAAACCTGACAAATCTGCCCCTCGTTTCACCCCTGGGTCCCTGTTCGCCAGCTTAAGTCTGGGAACCATAAATAAGGGGTGGGTTTCAGCTGGGAGCCCAGACTCTCTTTCTTGAGATTGATGTGAAGGCAGGGGAGAAGACGAGAGGCGTGCGCTGGCAGGCACGCGGGGCCTCGAGGCCCGGGCGGGTCTAACCGCTCTGTTCCGTTCTGTGTCGCAGCTCCACGAGTACAAGTCCTCATCCCACCGCATCTTTCAGTTGAACAACATAGCGAAAGCACTTAAGTTTTTGGAGGACAGCAATGTAAGTATTGGAAACACACCTGGTTAACACAGGCCTTCCCTGCAGCAAAGAGAATGTCATTGGATGTTTAGTGCTGGTCACAAGAGAAGCGCATAGAGGGACGCTGCTCAAACGGCCAAATTGGACCAAGTTTAAATTGAAGGGAACTCGGCTAACCTGTCCGTTGGCGATTTGGCCCCGGCCCCCCTGCCCCGCCTCGGTCTCCATTGGGACAGAAGCTCCCCAGGACCCCAGTCCTGGGAAGGCAGGGCAGCTGACTGGGGCTTGGCTCTTTAGGATTAGTTGACATCCCCCCCGCCTTTTCTTAAAATAAGAGTGCAAGTGAAGGTGTCCAAATGTACAACTGTCTTTTAGAACGCAGAATACGGGGGAAGCACAGGGGGTAGGAGAGGCTAAATAAGCCAGTTTTACAGAATTCCAAAATTCTCCCCTCTTGGACAGAACTTTGTAGACTTTCACAAGCTTTTTCTGTGTTTTGAACTCTGATCCACATCCTTCAGAAATGGGAACGGAGGGCCCTAGAGGGACGAGGTTTCCAGGGCTCCCCGTTCATTAAGCTTCGGCGATTACTCTGGATAGAAACGCCGCAGCTTGCCCGACGGTGAAACTTGGTCATTAAGTGCAGTTCTCTTGGAGTTCTGGGTGCTAAGCAACAGAAGCTGAGATCGGCTGATTTAAGCAAGAAGGGGATTTGTTGCGAGGGTGCTGAGTAGCGAACAGGGGGACTGGGCGAACCAGGGATGGGAACCAAGAGTTCCAGGCACCAGGCCCACCACCGAGGTCCCCATGCCCCCAGTTCAAGGACCCACAATCCCTGGAATGAACGCAGTGTCACACATTCCGATTCAAAGGCCTGGGTCACCAAGCCTGGGGCCCTGCCCACATCCCAGCTATGAAGGGTAGCGGGGATGAGCAAAGCGCTTTGGGTTTTGCAGGCAGAGGTGGGCTCTGCCTCCCCTACCGCGGGGAAAGCCCCAGACACAGGAGGGCGTTCAGACGGTGGCGGCCTAAAAGCACAGCATAGTTCCTAGCAGCATCACTCTTGATGGCCAAAGGGTGGGCGCAACCCACGTGACCATCCGTGGCTGAATGGATAAACCAACGCAGTAAATTCATACAGCGGACTACTCAGCCAAGAGAAAGAACGACGCACCAATATAGGCTACCACATGGATGAACACCGAAAACATCATAAAAATGCCAGACACAAAGGACTTACTTATTCTGTGATTCCATTCCTATGAAACGTCCAGGACAGGAAGGTTCCCTAGAGCAGAAGATAGACTAGCGGTTGGTTAGGCCAAGGGGTAGGGGGTCAGGAGAGAGAGCTAGCGAGGATGGGGCTTCTCTCTGATGTGACAAGACGTTCCAGAAAAGACTCTGGTGATGCTGTGCCTGTTTGAGAATACACCAAACACCATCGAGTCGTAGCCTTTGAATGGGTGAATGGAATGGAATATAAATCCCATCTCAGTAAAGCCGCTTTGTGAAGAAGCACATTCATGAAAACGCCGGTGTCCCCTTGGAGCTAGTTTCGCCATCAGCCTCGGCCTTCACATGGCCGTTGAGGGCACAGGTTCTGGGGTGCAGCTGCCACAGCTCCCGGTCCTAGAAAGCGACATGGATGCTCTGGGCCTCAGCCTCCACATCTGTGAGGTGGAGGCGACAGAAAGGGAGCCTGCCTCCGGGAGTCACCGAGGACTGGGTGCGCCTGTCCGGGCAGCGTCTGCTGAGGCCCCTCCTCCCTTCCCTGCTCCTGGAGGGGCCGCCAGGCGGGGCTCCCCTGAGCAGCATCTACACCTGAACTCCAGGGGGCGCCGTGTTTGGGATAACAGGACAACAGGCGGGCGGCCATTCCGGGCAGGGCCGGCCCCTACCCAGGTGTGGCAGCCCACCACTGCAGTGCCGCACGCCGAAGGCCTGGATATAGGCCTTGTCCGCCCTTAAATGCTTCCCCCGCTGTCTGCCTGTGGCACAACAGAACATTAAAGCCCCCTCTCCCTTCATTTTTCACTTAAAAATCCGGAAATATTCCAAATGTGGGTGTGATTTGTCGGCCTTGTGCCCTGTTGGCCAGGCAGGAAGGACAGGTGAATGACCCCGTGGTGGTAGGGAGGGGTGAGCACAGGTGAGTGACACAGGCGGAAACAGTCATTTCAGGTGCAGTCTCTGCCCCACTCCCAGCAGCCACAAACCACTCCTGGGCCCTTCCTGGGCCCTTTGTGTCCTAATGTCCCAGCTTGAGGGAGGACGGGCCGCAGTGGCTCTGCTGAACCAAAGCAGTGCCCAGAACTGGGTGACCGATGCCGAGCAGGCCCCACGGGCTCCAGGACTCCGACGCTGCCAGGTGCGGCCGGCCCCTGTCCTCCCCGCTCTCCCCCACGCCGACGCGCCACAGAGCGTAGCCCTGACTCGGCTGTCAGAGACGGGCTGCCCTGGGGGGCCAGCTCTGCGACTTCCAGCCTCCGAGCCTCAGCCTCCTTGTCTGCGAAACATTAAGAGCATGAAATGAATTAACCCGTGAAAACCACTCGGCAAGAAATTGGCTCCACCACGATGACCATTGTCGCTGCCTTGTGCTTTTGTGGGAAGGAATATTCCCCACAGCCCCTTGGTCCACTTGTCAGTGTAGCAAAAACAACTGAGTTACAGGGAAAAGGAGGGGGCAGCCTTTGTCCCCAAAGCTTCTGCCTGCTGCCTGGCTCTTACACTGTTCACAACAGAGCACCCAACAGTGGTGCGGCGCCCAAGGTATTTGGGAATGTTTGCTCCTTGAGGTCTTGGGCCACCTGCAGTCACGGCCTCCCTTTGGCCAGGTGCCCTGTCCCTCAGCTCCCCTGGTGGGGCACCGTCCTGTTTACTGCATCCCTACGAGGCGGCTCTGTCCTCGCTTCCCTTTGGAATGCTTTCCACGGACCTCAGCTCGGAAGCCATCCTGGGCTCCCTCCTGGAGGGGTGATCAACTTGACGAACTGCTCTGACACTCCCTGCACTGGGACGTGCGCAGTGAGCCACAGGAGCAGAGGGGACTCTCAGAGAGAGGGACAGGAGACCAGAGGGCCACACATCGCAGGTGATTCATCGTGCGGGATGTGTGGCCATGATGGATGGAGACGGCCTGTCAGGCCCGAACGTGATCGGCCGTGTTACACACAGGACGACCGCCTCCTTCCTGGATCCGGCCTGCCCGTGAGGAGCCTGTGCTAGCTGAATTACATTCTTGGCATCAGCCTGCAAGACGCCCTGAGCCGGGGAACTCTCTTCCTGGGTCAGGAAATCCCAGGTGCTGCTGAGCGGTGTTTCCAGAAACTGGAGACAGTTGATGGGATCAGAGACCCTTGTCAAACATTTTTAAAAGCCCTCAGGGAAAGGGAGAAAAGAATATCTGGTGAAGCCTCCTGTTTTCTTCCCCGGGTCTCCCTGCCGAATTTTGCAGGGTACATTTGAAAGTTTACCTTGACTTTCTTTCTCCTCTCTTCCTCCTGGAGAACGGGTGACCGAGACAGCCGTGGCCTGCGAAGTCTTAAACGCTACTCTCTGTGTCCCTTTGTAGAAGTTTGCAGACCCCTGATCTATGCACTTGGGGTTTCGCTTCAGGATAAAATGACTAGTGCAGTGGTCCTCTCCCACCGAGTGGCTGAAATGCCACTGGAACGCGGCTCCCAGAGCTGCAGATCCCGTAGATCTGGGGCAGCATTTGCCCTTCAGGCGTTCCCAGGAGACCAGTCCAGGAACCACACTTCAAGAGCCATTGCCTTAGGGATTTGCTAAGCGCGTCATCCTGTGATCAGATCCTAGGTAAATCCGTAGCAAACGTCCTAAGGTTTTCTCTGATAGACGTGGTGTGAGCAGTCAGTGGGATGTTTTGTTCCAATGCAGATACTCTGGACATCAGCCTTATCCCAACACACTGTTTCCAGTTAGCAACAGATAATTATCATTCCCATCGTGGTCCATGGTTGCTGATGTCGGTGCTCTGGGTTTATCCAGAGACGTGTTCAGTCTGCAGGTTTGGGGGTAGTAAGTAGTGTCGCACACAGATGGACCCAGTGGACACTCGCCATCTCTCCTTGGAAAAGGTGACTGAGATATTCGTGTATGACCTGGGGCACATTACATTTGACGTCTCTGGAATTTCCTCACCTGAAATGTAGGGAAGGTAGAAGTACCTACCTGGCGGGGCTGTTGTGAGGGTGAACTGAGTTAATACTCGCAATGAGCTTAGAATAGTGACTGCGCATGGTAAGCACTGTGTGCGTGATTATTAAACACACATACACACACACACACACACACTTTCACATGCGAGGGTCCCTGAGAGGTGGCCTTGGGCAATCCCCAACTGCACAGGTGGGAAAGAGAAACACGTCCGTGAGGGTGTCAGAAAATAACCTGCTTTCAAGGTGCCTGGCCACCCCCGTGAAGCTCAGCAATGTCTTCTCTGCAGGTAAAGCTAGTTAGCATTGACGCGGCAGAAATAGCAGATGGCAACCCCTCTTTGGTCCTTGGGCTGATATGGAACATAATTCTCTTCTTCCAGGTAAGACTCTTTCCTTCCAGGAACACGCAGCCGGGACCTCCTGGCGTCTGCCTTGGGCCAGCAGAACGGGGCGGGGAGGGGCGGGGTGGGGCAGGGCAGGCCAAGGGTGGCAGAGAGAGTCCGTTTCTGGCAGATTTTGACTTTTCTGTGTCCTGAAAAAGAACTGAAGGGCTCTGGTTGCTAGGGACTTGCATCCCTGTGATTCTGAAGTGGCAGGGGCTCTGTCCAGAAGAGTCTGTTTATTCTTTTAAGAATTTAAGAATTAAATAATGACTTCGAAAAACAATTTCATTCTAACATGTCACAAGTGCTGGGGAACCACTGTCAAAAACTGAACTTGGTGGTGTTGCTTTCCTAAAATGACTCCTGTTTGTCAGAGGTGATTCAAGGGCCTGTCTGAAAGGAGCTCTAGGAAGAGGCATGTGTGGCGGACGGGGAGCCCTTTCTCCATCCTTGGCCACGGCAGCTTGTCCTGGGAAACGCAGGTTATGGAGACGGGACAGGGTATGAAGGTGGCATTTGAAACCGCGCTCCAGTTCTTGTCCCTGAGTAGAAGGGAATGAGCTGACATTTTTATCTTCTCAAACCCCCTTCTTTTGAAATAGAACTTCACGGCTCATTATTTAACTGCTTCTCCCCCCAAGAGTAAAAATCATCTGCACGGAGGTGATTTGCTGGGAGTTTTGGCTCCATGTTTGAGTTTCGGGGAAGGGAGAGCACAAGCAAGATTTGGAGACAACAGGGGAAGTTCTAGGCGAGCCTTCGACCTCAAAACCAAAGGCTCTCTCACCGAGCCTCGGTTCCCACATGAGCCCGTGGGGCGAGCACGAAGAGATGCTATGTGGGACAGCCCGTGGTCAGCTGTAGTGTCCTGTGCAGGCTTCTGTCGCTGGCGGTCATGATGAAATCCCCTGACAGATGCTGGAAACATCCTGATCCTGGCAATGTGTAGAAAGTCAAGGCCTTAAATCCACCCCAGACCTTCATTCATTCATTGAGTAAAATGTCTGTTGAGTTTCTCCTATGTGTCCTGCATTTGTGACTCTCTGGGATTACAGATTAATCAGTCCCATACTACAGAGCTCTGTGGTGCAGGCCACAGTCAAGGTATGAGCAGAGTGTTGTCAGAGTGCTGAGCAGGGGCAATGACCTCAGGGGACAAGGGGAGTGAGGGAACCTTTCTACAGGAAGTGACACCAGAGCTAGCTTTTGAAGGGTGGGTAGGAGTGCGTTAGACCAGAGCTGCTCAGACTTGACTGTGCATATGAACCCCCGGGGGCGGTGCTGAAGTCCAGGTTCTGATTCTGTAGGGTCTGGGGCAGGGCCTGGGACAGAAGCATTTTTCACAAGTGCCCCATGGTAGGAACCACCTTTTGAGCAGCCAGAGATTTAGTGATGGAGGGAAGCGACGTCCGGGCAGCAGGACCAGGATGAGCCTAGGCAGTGGGGCTTGAAACAGCGAGATGCATTCTGGGAGGGACAGCCTGTGAAGGGACGGGTAGGTGGAGTCAGGTCAGGAAAAGTTACGCGCAGAGGCTGGCCAGAGCCAGAGAGACACTGGGAAGAGAGGCCCTGCCCTGCGAAGTGTCGTTGCATGCACTCCAACCCCCATGAAACAGGCCATCGTGGGTCCTGCCCTGTCCCCTGACACGTGGCCACCGGGAAGGCGTTTCACCCTATCCAGAGACCCATTTCTGCAGGAGCTGGTCCCTCCAGTCAGGACCCACATGGCCCCTGTGCGCAGAGGAGGTTTGCTCTGCATCTGAAATGCCTTTTCCCTTGCAGATTAAGGAGCTCACGGGCAACCTCAGCAGGAATTCCCCATCTTCCAGCCTGTCGCCTGGCTCGGGGGGCACGGACTCAGACTCTTCCTTCCCACCCACGCCCACCGCAGAGAGGAGCGTGGCGCTATCGGTGAAAGACCAGAGGAAGGCCATCAGGACCCTGCTGGCGTGGGTGCAGAGGAAAACGAGGAAGTAAGCCGTGTGCCCTGCCCCACCCCCATGCCGTTACCAGGCAGCAGGAGGAGGGCCCTCCCTGGAGTACACAAAGGAAAGGGGCATTAACATTTATTAAGTTATAGGCCAGGTACATGCCTTCTGTTTCATGCAGAGGGCGGTCCGACCTTTTGGCGTCCCTGGGCCACGCTGGAAGAAGAGTTGTCTTGGGCCACACATTAAATACATTGCAACATGTAATCATACACACAAAAAGCAACTCGTCACGTTTTAAGTAAATTTACAATTTTGTGTTGGGCCTCACTGATAGCCATCCTGGGCTGCGTGTGGCCCGCGGGCCGTAGGTTGGACACCCCCGACAGGGAATGCTATATGTCTTTCAGGTTTGGTGCCCAGAAAACTTGCAGAATCTTTGCTTTTCAGGAAGCTGTTGAGAGGATCTGCATACAAATCAAAGGAGCTTCCAGTGGGTTAAACCCCATAGTGGGAATGCCTCTTGAATCCTAATAACATGTCCCTATTTATTGTTAAGTGCCCAGGTGTCTTTCAGTCTGTACCTACTTAAAAGCTAATAGCAGTAAAAGCTATAACTTATCAGAGTTAGGATTGGCCTCCCCAAAACTTAGGCCGTGACCTGGAGCAAAGTGTCCGGTCTCCTGTTCAACCCTGCGCGGTGGGCAAGGCCTTTCAGCAGTTTGGTGTTAGGTCTCCCACTGGCAGCAGCCAACAGCCCCTTGGCCTCTGGGCGTGGGCAAGGCCGGGTAGGAAGCCAGGCCACATGGAGCAAAAGCCACACCAACTTAGGGCCACCTCAGCTCTGCCATATACACACGGGGTGAAATCCTGGTGAATCACTTTCCCTACCGGCCACATCAGCAAGATGGTGACTTGTCATTTGCTGCCTTACAGCGTAGTTAGGGTGAAGTGATACAGACCCTCAAACATGCCTGGCATAGGACCAGCCCGTAAAAAGCACTTCACAAATATCAGATCCCTCCTCCCCAGTGTATGGGAGCGAATAAAAGAGGAAAGAAGAAGGAGGATGAAAGAGAGGCTGGATCTTTGCAGTTTTGATTGAGGGGCGGAACATGGTAGAGTTGATTAATGCGAACAGTCGTTACATGTCCTTTGAAAAGAAATCAACCGAAAGGGAGCCAGGGGGACTAAGGAAGAGGCGGTGTTCCTGGGGTGATGGAACAGGTCCATTGCTCCATTATGGCCGTAGCCCCAGGACTCCGTACGTGCGCTAAAATGTTGTGCTCTATGCTCCACCCCTGGAAAAAAGAAACTGGCAGCACCAAATGAGGTCTGAGGCTTAATTAACAGCCTTGTCCCGACATCCTTGCTGCAATAACACACTCTGGGAATGTATGATGTTCTCTGCTTTTGCAACTGCTTATGAATCTTAAGTGATTTCTAAATTTAAAAAAAAGTTTTTCATTTATTTGTTTAAAGAGAATTCAGTGATCCCAGTGACAAGACTGGCAGGTCTCAGGGGATGGTTTCTAAGGGAAATTGTCACCTGGCGGGATTAGCCATCTTTGTTCCTCCTGTGGTATTAGCTGCCACTGAGTGAGTGGCTTCTGTGTGTCGCCTGCAGGGCACATTCGGGTGTCCACCTGCCATGGCCATTCTTGTGGGTTCAAGCTCGTACTTCTCCACAGCCACCACTGAGAGGTCACAGCGAGGTGATCTTGTTTTATCATTGAGGAGTTTGAGGCCAAGGCGGGTACAGGACTTGCCCAAGCTCACAGCACAGGAAGTACAGGGTGGGCAGCCGGGTGTGCACAGGGGACTTTCTGGCTCCTTTTTATTGCACAACACATCCTGTTTGCTGTTTTGAGCATCACTGATAAATCTGCTCATTTACCTGTCTGGAAATCGGGGAACACGAGGTCCTGTTCTGCCCTCTTGTTCGACACATGCCTCCTTCTTCTGTTCATCCAGAGATGGAAATGGGGTGATTTGGTGCAGCTCTCCCGGGACTTGGGCCCAGGTGTCCGGCCATGTGAGGGCAGCAGCTCCCGGCCCCACTTAGAGGCCCGCAAGGCTGCCTCGTGCTGCCCCAGATCACTGATTCTCTTTACTAAGCTGCCTGCGGCCGCCCTGCGGCCTTTCCCCAGGTATGGCGTGGCAGTGCAGGACTTTGCGGGCAGCTGGAAGAGTGGGCTGGCTTTCCTGGCTGTGATCAAGGCCATCGACCCCAGCCTGGTGGACATGAAGCAGGCCCTGGAGGACTCGATGCGGGAGAATCTAGAGAAGGCTTTCAGCATCGCGCATGACGCCCTTCACATCCCCAGGCTCCTGGAGCCAGAAGGTAGCAGCGGTCCCTTCTCTCTCTTCCTTCTCAATGATTTTTACCACCTGTGTAACACATGCTGCCCAGGTGGAAAATCCAGAAAAATCCAATGAAGACTTATTATATCTTCTACATTCCTACTACTGAGATCATTTTTCCAGTATTTTTCTATGCATTTAATTACAATTTTTTTTACATAATTGGGATTATTCAGTGTATGTATAGTTTTAGCCTCTTCTTTTTTTTACTTAACAGTCTTAATTTTGCTATAAGTATTTGCTTAACTTATGTAGTTACAGTGTTTTCATTACATATTTCTATGGGCCACACAATGGTTCATGTCATGGCATACCAGAATCTACTAGGCTCTTCTACCACTGGTGGGCATTGAGGTTGTTTCAGGAATAGTCGTGTTGATATATAACACTGCAATGAACATCTTACTGAGTGAAGTTTATTCTTCTAAGATTATTTCCTTGGGACCAGGTCCCCTGAGTGTAGTGACAGAGTTGGAAAGGACACACCTTTTAAAGACACTTGACTACCTTGGTTTCCACGCGGGTCAGGAGAGTGTGAGACTCTCTCCAGCAGTGAGCAAGGACAGACAGACAATCTCGGGAGTAAGGAATCCTGGATTCTACATCCCAGACCCTCTGTTCATCCGCCTCCGGTCAAATGATTCGCCCTCTGGGCCTAAATTCCCTCACATGTAAAAGGAAGAGGAAGAACCTCAGTGGTGTACGGGATCCTTCACCATCCAGTGTCCCGTGGTCCTCCTTAAAGATCGTGTGTCCATGTGTCCTTCTAACGCCTGTGTCTCTCTCAACAGACATCATGGTTGACACTCCAGATGAGCAGTCTATCGTGACGTACGTGGCACAGTTTCTAGAACATTTTCCGGAGCTGGAAGCCGTATGTTGGTTTTCCTTACCTTTAATTCTGATACTATATTTCCATCAGATAAAGCTAGGCTTGGACTATGGTGTTCCAGGGGCAGTAATAATCCAGCCTGGATCTCGAGCCCTGTGAGCACTGCCTTGCCACAGTTTAACTTCAAAATCGTACATAACGTGTATCACGTTTAACTGTGGGACGGGAAGGTAGGCAGCCACCCCTCTTGCAACCCTCTTCCCGTACCAAACTTGATTAAGATTGTAAAAGATTATAAAAGTGTAATATGGATCACTTACCTGATTTCTTAGATGTCAGATGGCACATTTTAGCAGTCTACCAGATTTTACCAGAGTGTGAAAAATTATAGAAGACGATGTTCAAAACTTGTGTTTTTATGTTTGGAGTCTCAGATTATACTTGATCACAGAATTTTATTTATTTATTTATTTATTGCACAGAATGAGACCTTTTAGAGGCTGTCATGGCTCAGTTGAACCTCCACCTAACCCGGGAATGATAATAATGACAACAGGTTACAACAGTAACAACAGCCCTTTACTGAATTCATTGATAATTTACTGAACACCCACTGCTGGCTTGGGGGGTCTCAGCAATAAACTAGGGGGACGAGGCCCCTGACCTTTGTATAGTTTTGCTCTAATAAACAGTGAACAAGTCAGCAAACACATTACAATATGAAGGAGTTATAAGTAATAGACTGGAAAAAAAATGAGCATAGAGAGCATGTCATGTGCCCCGGGGGACCGGGCTGCTCTCTGAGCTGGAGGCTGGGGACATAACTGGCGGCCGTTCCTGCAGTCCCACCTGGCTCAGCCTCTCCATCCTCACTTTATAGACGAGAACACTGGCGGTCAGAGGCTTTAAGTGCCCGCCAGGGTCACACAGCCGCCAGCTGCAGAGCTTTGTGACCCTGGTGTCTATGGTGCCAAAGTTCAGGTTCCCTCACAACGTATGGCCGAACCCGAGCCCACACTTGGTAGAGCTCAGAACAGCCAGGTTGGGTTCCCCCTGTGCTGTGGCTTTCATTCCAGCCTCTGGCCCTGTGTGTGTGTGTGTGTGTGTGTGTGTGAGTGTGTGTTTCCCATCCGTCCCTGCACCACAGATCACTACCCCGCGTAAGTTAGAAGCAGAAATTCCATGGGCTGTGGTGGCAGTCTGCCACTTGATGCTGTGTGACCTCGAGGTGCTTACGTCACCTCTCTGATGTACGTCTGTGTACATGCTAGTCCTGGGGCTGGCACAATAGTCAATGCACAGCAAATGGTGGAGATGGTTATTGTTTTTGTAATAATTGAATATGCTGTATAATTTGTATAATTATATACATTGTACAATGTAATATGTGCTATAATAATATTTCGTAATAGTCCTAGCCCATTACTGACTTCTGAGATACTAGGCATCAAGCCTTTTTGTTATAGCCTTTAGCCCTTAATATGCAGGCAGAGTGTGAAATCAACTAAAACGTATGGTATTTTTAGGAGTTGCAGCCAGGATTCAGCAAATCCTGGGGAGGGGAGAAAAGGGGAGGGGAGGGGAGGGGAGGGGAGGGGAGGGGAACGAGAGGTTGAACAGGAGGTAAGACCTGAGAAAGTCATCCTGAGCCACGGAACACAGTGTGTCACTGCAGAACAGTCAGTCCCTACATACCCCCAGAGCACTACAAAGGACAAGCCTCAGCCAACGCAGGCACTCACTGAACTGTTCCGGAACGGTTCAGCTGAGTTTAGCTCATTTCAATAAACATTCCTTAAGCCTTGGCCATCCGGGTACCACCAGACACTGCGCCTGGCTTTATAGCCCACCATGTGGTTTATTTTGGTTAAATGTACCATATGCACTTGAAAAGAATATTCCTTATGCACTGAAAGATTTGACATTCTTTAAATATCAATTAGGTTCAGTTCGTTAATATGCTGTTCTCATGTTTTGTAGGCATACTGATATTTTTTCCTCTGCTTTTTCTATCAACTCATGTGAGAGAGAAATGTAAAAATCTCCACCTTATGATTGTGGATTTATTTTTCTTCTTTGCTCTGTTGGTTTTTGCTTTGTGTATGTTGAAGCTATGCTATAAGCGCATACACATTTAGGATTATTGTTTCTTTCTGATGACTTGGTTGTTTTATTTTTATGCAATTTCTTTGTCTTGTTGTGTACTTTGCCTGATAGGAATATAGCCATACCAGCTTTCACATGCTGTTTGCATGACATACCTTGTTTCATCTTTTTCTTTTCAGTGTGTGTGCTAATATTTAAACACATATCTTATAAACAGTATATAGTCAGGTCTTATTTTTTATCCATTCGGACAAGAATTACTGTGTCATTTAATTAGTGTGTTTTTCATTTATTTACAGAGATTTAAATACCGTTTTGATTATTGTTTTCCATTGGTCCTGTCTATGCTATGCTTTTTGTCTTTCCTTCCTGAATTTTTTGGATGATTCGATTTTTTTTTTGGTTTTCATTTTACCTCCACTGTTAGCTTTTTAGCCACATATCCTTGTTTTATCTTTTTAGTAGTTCTGGGCATTATAATGCTCATCTCTAACATACCTCAGTTAACCTTGAATTCCTATTATAACACTTCAAGTAAAATGCATATTTTATATGATTTATATATGCAAAAATTTATTTCCCCTTGCTTCCTCTCCATTCCTCTGTGCTATTATTGACATTTACTTCACTTCTACATATGTTTTAATCCCAATACATTGTTATATTTGTGCTTTAAACAGTCAGGAGGCTTTTTAAAAAAACTTTTCATTCTTTTATATTGACTGTATATTTACTATTTCAAGTAGTTTTCATTCCCTCCTTCAGATCTGGCTTCCACTTATGACCATTTCTCTGCAGCGCAAAGAACTACCTTTGTGTTTCTTGTAGCGCAGGTTAAATAGTTATTTTAGAGTATCTGCTGGTTCTAACCCTGGGTTGTATTCGGGTCTGCTTCCAATGACTGTTGCTCTCTTCATTATGGGTCTCAGTCCCCTGATTCTTGGCATCTTGAAATTTTTTTATTTTTATGCCAGACCTGGTATATAAATAAACATTCCCCCTCCATCTCCCGAGAATGTATTCCTTTCCCAAACAAGGATTTACATTGAGGAACTAATCATTTTGGCCTTCTCCGGAGTCGGTGAGGGATATGTTGCAGTACTATTTAATTTCAGCTTTCTGGTTTCAAATAATTTGAGGACGAGGCCACCACACTGACTCCCCTAGGGCTTTGGGAGCCAACACAACAGCACCCCAAGATCACTCGGTGCGTGTCAGCCCGCCCACAGCTGCTGCTTACTCAGCAGAAGCCCTTGTGCGGGAGAATCAGCATAGACAGAGGTTTAGCTTTGCATTTGGGGCCCCTTAGATTCACTGTCTCATACCAGCCCACACAGTCGATGACGAGGTGGCTGATCTTTCATTATCTCCGGTGGGTCAGCTCTCCTGTCTGTCCCCAGACTAGACAGCGACCCACAGGGATGAAGTAGCAGACAATCTCTGCTTGCTTAGCAGGGCTCATGCTACAGTGTAGTTCACTGAGAGTTCTTTGTCTCCATAGCTTGAAAGAGTAGTATTTTTAAAAATACTTTGGCAGAAACAACAGCCTTTCCAACCATCTACAACTTAATTGGAACACTTAGCATTAGCTCTGAAGTGGCTCTTTCTGCTTTCGCATTGTTCTTGGAGAGGGGAAGAAACATTGTGCTTACATCTGATGTCACGTTGCCCTGTGTTTCTCTGCAGGAAGATTTTGTGGATTTGGAGAGAGAAGCCCCCATTGAATCCACCTTTGTCCGCATTAAAGAAACACCTTCTGAGAGGGAGAGCACAGTGTTGTTTCTGACCGAAGACGGGGAGCGCGCCTACTCTGTTAACCATGAAACCAGCCACCCACCGCCCTCCAAAGTCTTTGTCTGCGACCAGCCCGAGAGTGTGAAGGAATCCCACCCGGGTGGCGTTTCCAGCCAGGCGCTGTCGGACACTGCCACCGAGGTCATACACCAGGTCATAGACCAGGTCCTCCAAGACATCCCAAGTAAGGCCAGCAGCAATGGCGAGCCGTCTGCAGAATCTTCCATCTTATCCAGAAAGGACAACCGGGATCCCAGCTCTCTGCCAATCAAGAAAACTGTGCACTTTGAGGCCGACACCTACCACGATGCTTCCTGCAGTAAGGACACTTTCCACAGTCAAGACTTTGTCTTTGAAGGGAGCCCAAGAGGGACAAAGGCGTTGTCGAAGCAGGATGGATATGTCTTGGAGGTTGCCGAGGACAAGCTGAAACCGGACGTTCCCAAGATCCTGGAAGTAGCTTCTGACGAGGCCCTAGGTGAAGTTTCCTTGGTGGACAGTAAGATCAGTGATTCTCAGACTTCCCAGAGCTCTCCCTCCTGGAACGGGGCATCGGAGAGGGCAGCCAGCCCTGGGGAAGGAAGTCGTCCCCATTCGCCCTGTGGGGAGGATACTGTTGTGGCCGAATCCTTGGAGATCAAGGTTGAGCTGCAGACTGCAGAAGCTATGGATAAAGATGACTATTTTGAAGGCATACCATTAAAAGCCTCTAAATTTAATAGCGACCTAGCTGATTTTGCCTCGACCAGCCAGGCTTTCGATGAGGAGCCCTCGCGCCCTGAGAAAACGCCTGGCGAGGGTGAGGCAGCGGAGGAGCTCGCTGAGACACTGGGTAGGAGGAGGAGCAAACCTGCCCAAGAACAGGAGGGTTCAGATGGGCCCCCAGGGAAGCCTGGCAAGCAGGACCCTCACAAGGGCCCTGGGCAAGAAGACCAAGACTATTTTGTGGCCCCCGAAGTGGCACCAGTGGATAAAAAGCCAGAGGTGCACGAAAAGGCGAAATTCAAGTCCTCGCATCGCCGCCGTGGGGAGGAAGAAGGGGAGGCGGAAGGCCCCCTGGAGCTCGGCAGAGAACTGCCTACCAACCCGCCCAGCAGCCGCATCAGCCTGGACACCCTCGGGAGTCACAGCGACGAAGGCCTGGATTTCAAACCCTCCCCGCCCCTCTCCAAGATTTCCGTCATCCCCCATGACCTGTTCTACTACCCGCATTACGAGGTTCCGCTGGCTGCAGTTTTGGAGGCTTATGCGGAAGGCATAGAGGATTTGAAGAGCGAAGAGATGGACCTCGAAGAGCCAGAGGACTATCTGTATGACTTGGGGCCCCGGGAGGAGGAGGAGCCTGAGGCCTTGGAGAGCAGCTGCAGCTTCTCGGGGCAGGGCAAGGACCACCCCCCATCCGCCCTCCAGGAGCCCGATCTGGACAGGGGCGCGCAGGGTGCCAAACCCGCCTCAGAGCCCACGCCCCCACCTGCCCATCAGGCCCACCAGCAAAGGGAGGCCGAGGACAGTGCCCCTGTGGAGAGTCAGCAGGTAATTGATTGCCCGACCTGGGGAATTCTGCCCTCCCTGAGCTCAGTGTCTTTCATAAAATAGGCTCCCTCCCAGACGTCCCGGGGTGCACATTTAAGGAGGTGCTCACTGAGGCTTGGGCAGGGGGCGGCGCTGGCTCTTGAGAGGGATGGCTCCTTCAGTTTTGCACCCTGGGTGCCTTGCTGGCCTCCCCCAGCCCTGGCCGTGCCCACAGGGCCGCTGAGAGGATCAGTGAGGTCACATCTGAGAGTCCAGCGCAGCAGATCCAGTAATCACTTTAAACAGTAATCAGAGCTCCACGTGGGTGCCCTTAGCGAATCGAAGCCCCGCCTCCTGCTGCAGCCTGGGAGATCCAAAGGGAGGCCTCGCATTTGACGCCAGCCGTGATTTTTAATGGCCGTTTGCCTGTTCAGCCCTGTTATTATTTGGCCCCTGTGGTTTGAAAGGGAGTGTGGAGACAGGGCAAGGAGGGGACACGCACTGATCTGCCACCTGAGGCTCTCATTTCATTGGGCCCCGCAGCTCAAGAGGGCCCTCGGAGCGGAGTGCGCAGTGAGAGGGTGGGGGCCCTGGTGGGCCAACACGGGGGGCGCAGAGGGCGGGGCTTCCCGCAGGTGCCCCGCTAGGAAGCGCTCCCCCAGCGGCGCTGGGAGCGCGGGGGCCCAGTCCATGTGACAGCCCTTGGAGGCGCAGGGCAGGCAGGGCGCCCAGGCTGAGCTGGCCTGGGAGGAGAAGGGAGAAGCAAATAGGAGAACCTGCCTTGGGTGTTTCATGCTGGGAGACCAAGTCCCCAGTAACTGTGCCAAGAGGGACGTTGGCATCCGATGTAGGAGATGGGGCCCAGCAGAGGGGGGCCCTACCCAGATCCAGAGAGGCTGCACATGGGGCGCGGGGGCTGTGGAGCTGGGGAGGGAGGTCTGGGTGGAGCGCACAGCCTGAGCGTGGGAACCAAGGTGGGAACATGCGGCACATCCATCAGCTGTCCCAGCTCACCTGGGCCACCTCTGCAGTGGCCCCCCGTGCCATCCCATTGGCTCTTCCCAGGCTTTCCTGCCTCTCCTCCCCAGTGCAGCCCCGCCCCCATCGAGCAGTGAAAACCTCAAGCACAAATCTCAGCCTATCACTCCCCTCCTCCAATCCCCAGAATAAAGTCCTCATTCCTTAGCATGGCCTTTAAGACCCTTCCTTCTGCCACCTGGCCCCCACCCTCCGGTTCCCCCTCCCTCCCTCCCCTGCAGCCACGCCAGCTTCCTCCCTGGCTCCCAGTTACCCCATCTCTCCTCTGCCTCCAGGCTCTGCCTGATCAGGTCCCGACGCCTTCCCCCCTCCCCTTGGCAAGCACTTGTCCGCCTTCCACGTCCCACTCACACGGCCCCTCCTCCCAGGAGCCTTCCCAGCTCCTCCCCAGGCACAGCAGCTGCCCTCTCATCTGTAGCCAATAAGTCTTCATCCCTCCCTACCCTAGTGCTTAACCAGGTGTCCTGGGTTGTGGTTTTCTCTCCCAAGCAGAGTGTGAATATTGGTGTATTAAGGTTCAGACTCTAGAGACCAGCCTGGCAGGGCCTGCGATGCAGGAAACAAAGGGGCACTGCATGATGATTTGGGGGTGTAAGGAGAAGGTAGGGTACAGTGAACACCAAGGTAGATGGCCATGCTCTGGCTCATGGCCCTGGAGAGACAGGGCTGAGAGAGAGGCCCTGCGGATGCAGCCCGGAGGTCTACAGGAGAAATGGGAGTCGGAGTAGCCTTGTGAGACATGTAGGATTTAGACAGGCAGCCGTGGTAGGCTGCTGTTACTGGTTTACCAACTCCAGGGTCGCTGCGGGGAGCAGAAGTCTCAGGCGGGAACAATCTAGGAGGCAAATGCGGCAGGATCACTCGGCTCTTTGGGGTGGAGACAGTCACTCTATGTTCATCTTTGGATAGAGGGCTGGTGGTTCCGCAGGGGCCAGGGGCCCACCCGCCATCTTTCCCTTTCGCCCCCACATAGAGGAACCCAGTCCTGGTGCCCCCTCCCCGCCTCCCCCCTCCACCACTGTCTGCAGGCTTGTTGAAGCCAACCCCACCCAAGATCCAGGAGTCAGAAGTGTCCCTCGGGGAGATCAGGTTGTGGGGCTGGGGGACCATGACAGGCACAGGGCAGTTCTCTGGGTTATTATGGGCCCGAAAGCTCTTTTAGGACCAAAGAAAGGGGACTGAGGGGTTGTTGGAAGAAAGCCTGAGTTGCACTCTTGCTCCGTGGTGTCACTTGAACTGGCTAATTCGGGGCTTGGTCCCTCTCCCCGGCTGACTGAGTGTGGCCTACAGAATCGCAGACGTGGCACTTCGCTCTCTTCCACTTTGCAAAAGTAGGTTGTGCACCAGCCATGTGGATAGGAGATGCGAGACGGGGCCGCGAAGCCCTGGGCTGGTTGTGGAACAGGAGCCCTAGGTCTGACTCCTCTTACACTGAGTGGCAGGGAGGGGGGCGGGGGGGCGGGGGGGGGCTGGCAGCCCCGGGACGGCATGGAAACAGCACCATGTGCCCTGCACCTCTCGGCTCCGATCTGCGTCCCCGGCTCTCACCTGCCCACCCGCTGCTCCCACGCCCACCTTGCAGCCAGCTCTGGCTCCTGAGGGTGGCCCCGGCTCTGGCTCCCGAGGGTGGCCCCGGCCTTGCTCCCAGCGGGGACGCAGAGGGAGGGATGCAGCTTGGCATGACAGGCGACGTAGGTGCGTCTGGCCTCCAGGCAGACAAGGCAGCACCGGAGGGAGCATTTCTCTGATACCTGGCCCTCCTGTAAAAAAGAAAATTACATCCTCGAAAGAGCCTAGAAAATGGCAAGTTCTTCTAGTCTTTACAAAAATGTCCTCTCCTCATTTCACCTCTCAGAAAGGTACCATTGATGACGGAGGAGGGACCGGAGGTTCAAATTGCCGAGAGCGCTTTTAATTTCTGCACAGAGCTTTGTTCTGTGGGCACCCGGGGACTGACCCCTGGAATCCTCTTAGTCCAACACCTGTTGAGCAGGTTCTTCTAGGCTCCGCAGGAATTGCTGAGAGGTGGCTCCAGCAGTTCCCACGCTTCTCGGTTTCACTCCAGAGCATTACTGGTGGGTTTCGGAGTGTCTGGTGTAGACAGTGGTCCGACGGACACTAGAGATGCACCACATTCCCCCTTCAGCCAAAGGCGCAGGGAAGCATCATCCCACCAGGTATACGTTTGCCTGCGCGTGTACCTCTCCAGACTCTGGGGCCCCCTTTGCGCCCTGTGGCTCTCCTGGCTTCCAGGATTCATTTCTCTGTTTAAGCAGATGATGATTGTGTGAAGGGTCCAACCATTGCCCACTATGAGGGACATCTTCTACACTGTACTACAGAGGGAACACTGTAGTACTGTGGGAAGAGGCTGGTAATTATTATACCCTGTTGAGAGACAAGGAAACAGAACCAGAGAGATAAAGTCAGTTGCTCAAGGTCGGAGAGTCGGCCAGGATTTTAAACTAGACTCTGCTGACCCTGGACCGTATGCCATTTTCACTCCACCCGTCTGGAGCATTTGAACTCTACCCAGGGGGCAGGAGTTTGGGTGGGCTTCCCTTCCCAGGCAGGCTGCGCTGGAAGGAGTTCCCGGGAGAGGCCGTTAGAAGGGCCGCCTGCGCTGGGCCTTGGAATCGAGGTGGAGGAGAGCACTGCTGGGTGGTGTCGCTCACCTGGCGTCTCAGCGGGAAATGCTGACTTGTATTTGGTTGTCTCGTCCTTCAGTCCCAGAAATCCCCGGACTTGGAAACCTCAGCAAACCCTTTAGAAGAAAAGGTCACGGGAGAAGCCATCAGCAGTAAAAAAAAGGAAAAAAAGAAACATGTGGACCATGTAGAAAGTTCAATATTTATAGCACCTGGAACTGTTCGGTCCTCAGATGACCTAGAAGAGGACATTGGTGACTACAGAATCCTTTCCAGGTATTTTATTTCTGTCTCCTGCCCCTAGGACCCAGCTGGGGAGTGACCCCGCGACCTCATTGTGTTGTCTGTTTCTGAGGGGTGGCAGGGGTGGGGCTGACGGCGAAGGAAACTTGGTGAGAACGTCCATACAGATTCACACAGAATTCATCTGGCAACTTGGTTATTGGCCAGAATCAGACACACAGATTCACCCCCAGCTCTGTACCTGGGTTCCCCCAGCTGGCCGCACCTTCACCAGCCTGCTGATAAGCAGCAGAACAGGAAGTTGGGAAGTGTGCCTTCTCTCCTCACTCCAAGTCGCTTGGGTGGGAACTAGCAGCGAGCGGAGACAAGGCTGGGCCGTAGGCGGGTGTGCGCTGTGAAAAGCAACAGACCCAGAGACCCTGCCAGCCCCAGGGACCACTGTTGGAGAGCAAACTTAGCTGGGTATAAGCATCTTCCGGAATTGGGAGGGGTGAGCTGCCTGTGTGCTGAGGGGACCTTTCACTGCTGTCACATGGAATTTAGACTTTAATATTATGACTTCACCCATGAGCTTGGTTGTAAAGAACTAAGGATGGTTCGTTTATCTCGGGGAGGGTAATGACCCCGACCTGGTCTTCAGGGCGCTGGTAGCACCCATCTGCGCTGTCACTCCAAGGCCACTGGATGGGATGGATTCGTCCCAGGGGAAACGGTTCACTGCTGACTCTCAGAAGACCCTGGCCCCTCCCCATTATCACTCCTCCTCACGGCGGCCACAGTTTACGTGCCCTGTGTGTCTAGGCACCTCCCGTGCATTTCCTCACTGATGCTCACAGGCACCCCCGGGGCAGACAAGGAGGCTGGGGCACCTCCCAGCTTTGGAGGCGGCAGACTGGGGTCTTGGATGCAGACCTGTCCGACTCTACCTCCCACGTTCCTTTCCTGACCCTTCACTGCCTGGGGAGGCTGAGCCTCGCTGGCTGCAGAGGGATGTAGTAGAGGTGTACATGTGGGCAGTGAGTGGGGAGAAGCCCGGACAGGGAGAGCCGAGAAGGGGCTGGCAGGTGCCCCACTTCCCGTCTGTCCTCTGCCTTGCTTCCGAGCCCGGAGCTGTGGGGCACTGAGGAAGATTAGTCAGGAGCCCCGATGGGGAGCAGCGAGGCACAGTGGAAGACGTCTGCCCACCTTGTCCGTGACTCCCAGAGCCCCTCTCCCCTCCCCTTTTCCTGAATGTCCAGCGGACATCCCCACTCTAAGTGCTCGCGAACACTTACGGGCAAACAGCTCGAGCTGTGTCCTCCTCAATCACAGTTTGGGGAGGAGCCGTTGGTCACTTGCCAGACCGCTCAGCTTCTCCCTGAGCAAGTCACTTCTCAGTAATCTGTGAGCAGCCGTTCCATGATGGAGTCTGCTAGACTCGGGGACTTGAGACGAGGCCAGCCACAGCGGAACTCCGGCCCAGCCCCACCCTCCCGGGGCTCCCCAGGGAGACAAGGTGGTGGCCCAGCCTGCTAGGACCGGAGGGGGTCAGGACAGCCCAGGGGCTGACCTGTCATTGATGTTGAGCATCGAGGGAACATGGGATGTGGATCTGGGAGAGAGAGAAGGCATTGCAGGTGAAAGAAATGGGGGGAGCAAGCAGCTGGTACCCTGCGGGCGCTCTGTAAATATTTGTGGGATGCGAGGGTGTCTGAAGAAACAGAGTGTGGGGGGACAGGGGACATCTGGGCTGCCTGCTGTATGAGGAAGTACCAGCAAAACCCGTCCCCATGAAGGTGAGACAGGGACAGAGATGGAAAAGCACACCCGTATTTCGGTGTGTGCGGGAAGAGGCCTGGCGGGCCATCCCCTGATGCCCCGAATGGAGCAGGCAGCAGCTACCTTCCGCTCCGCCCCGATCTCGCCTGGAGTGACGGGGAAGCGGTGCAGCCAGGTGGAAGCTGCGCGCCAAATGGAGGCAGGTGCGCAGAGGTGTGCGCAGGGGTGTGACTGCGTGAGGACCCCTGGGGGAGCCCCTCCCGTGGGCCAGGCCTTCTCCCTGTGGGGCCATGCTCTGTTCAAAGTCAGCACCTGGCCCCAGGGTCCTGAGTGGGACCGAGCTCTGTGAAGCGGGGGGATGGGAATGATGAGCCACTCTAGAGACGGGGAAACTGATCAGAGACGAAATACTTGGCTAAGGATGCCAGTTAACCAAGAAGCCGGGATGGCAGCCCAGGCCTCCGGCTGGGTCTTGTTTGCCTCAGGCTTAGGCAAGCTGGTTCTATTAGAAGGTCAGAGAACTTATTGCACATCATCAGCCTCAAAGACAGGGTCAGAATATTAGCCGCCTGGTGCGAGAAAAGGGGCGGTACAGCTGAGAGTTAGACACGCGGAGAGCAGCGTTGTGCACAGAACGGAGCAGTGGAAAGGGAGTTGGATATTGGATACCAGGTCCTGGTCCAGGTCTGGCCTCGGCTAGCTAGCTGTGGACATCTGGCAGTCCCCAGACTTAGGGGTGCTTGGGGAAAGAGATTCCTCCCTGCTGTGAAATCCTATGATTTGCAAGAATATGTGGTTTGCTTTCTATATCAAATTTTTCTCTCTGTGTTGTGTTGTTGACGGGGCCCCCTGTGTCTCTCTAATATCCCTCCTCATATTTGTAAGCACACTGCAGCCCAGATGGACGTCATGGATAAAATGTCTCATTTCTGTCACTGAAGCCCTAGTTTGCCTAAGCCTACCTGTGGAAGCTTCGGGAGCGGGAGCCGGGTGGGCCCAGCTGAGCCAGGAGCTCCAGGTGACACCAATTCAAATTTGTGTTTATTTTTCAGGACTAGCCACAGTGACTCCAGTATTTACATTCGACGACATAACAATAGGTCTTTGGAATCGGTTAGTATGCGAATTTCTTCTTCTTCCATGCACCTCTGCTAATCAGTTCCTTTCCATCCTCCGTCCTCCCCAGCCCAGAGCTTTGAAATTACTAACGTGCAACAACTATACTTTTGGATAGAAGACAAGCAAATTGAAATCTTGTTGTTAAGCACAGTCCAATCGGATGTCCAGTTTGGGCAATAGGGGATGTAAATAAAGTGATGATTTTAAAGCCTAAAGGCCTCTTTGTCATATAAAAAAGATGCATCCAAGACACCGACCCCGGCACTCAGAAAGATCACGTTCAAAGACAGGTGCAACAGAAGCGGAGGGTGCACTTTACGTCCGCAGCAGTTTAGCTCTGGTTGTGCTGGGACCCAGAGCACCGTGGTCCACAGCCCTGATTCAGGTGGCAGGAGGTGGGTGGGGCCTCCAGTGTGGGGCCGGGGGAGAGGGTAGAATAATGTGGAATATTGTTGAGCACTTTGACTTGGGCACTAGGTTTTTACAGAATTGAGAAAACACGGCATGCTCAGCTTTGTATGTTTAAAATCATTTTATTTTCTGTTTCAGAGATTTCATCTTTACTAATTGGGTTTGCGGGGGTTTTGTTTATAAATTTCACTGTAGGATCATGTTAGCTATGTTCAGTTGAGGAATGCCGCCGATCAGGATGACAGAAGAAATCGAATGTCAACCAGGTTGGTGGCTTTACTCCGAGGTTTATGGGCTTTTAAAAAAAAAAAAATGTTTTCTTTTTTAATTATGCAGCCTACCTTCTGGCGGTGGCTCTTCTCCAGCTATGCTTTGTTGATAACAAGATAAAAAGTCTGCGATAATGCAAAGAATGAACTGTTCCGGGGAGAATGGCTGTAAATTAAATATGCGTGGGAGGGCAAAGTGGATGCGAATTAAGAAAGCGGGCTCCATTTAGAGACGGGGTCTGGGTCACGCAGGCGCATTGACGTTAGACGGTGGCACTAGCTGTCTGTCAGAGGAAGAGCCAGGCAGGACAGGTGGGGATGTGATACCCGTGTTCTAAGCCCACCGTGCCTCACAACCCTGTTCCTTCTATGTCGCCACTGCAGGTACAATACTCAGAAGCTCACTGAGCTGATCTTACAGTTTTATGGCATCAGAGCAAACAAGAAGAGGGAAGGCAGACTTGCCAGGATGTCTATGAAAGTATCTCTTACTGTTGGCGAACTAGATGTTCTAGGCTAGGCCTGCTGTGCAGCTGGCTGACCTGGGACACAGGAAACCAGAGAAATCTCTAAACCTGACGCGTCTGACGCACCCTTATCCCTGTTGGAGTTACTGAATCACTTAATTTTATTGATCTTAAAAAAAAAATGCCTCAGGTTTTAATTGGCTTGGAAGGACTTAAATTATTGGAATGGAAAACCTCCTCCAGAATATTGCCCAACACCCGGGAGTGCGATCCCTCAAATTCCACCTCTCCGGCTCCTAAAAAGAGGCGAGATCTGCTTCCCTCCCCTGCCGTAAAATGGAAATATTAATGCACATTTTCCATTAGGCTTGACATACTCAGGAAAATAGCACTTTCAGCTTTTATGAGATAGAAACTTTGAAAATTGAGCCTGCAAGGGTGAGAAATGCAGGCGTGTTTTCCGTGTTTTTGAGCATTTATTACCTTCGCAATAAAAAATACAGTTTAAATTTTCTCTCAGACAGAGTTTTAAGAAAGAGAAAGCAATTCTGTCCAGTGTCCATCGTCTGCACTTGAATCCGCAGTTTCTAGACCAGGACGAAGGCGAAGGTTCTGGTCTGTCTCTCGGTCAGGAGACAGTTGGGGACAAAGTGGCTTTTGACTCATACCCTCCATCACAAGCCCCAGGTGGCCCCAAAGAGCGTACACTCAGCCTCTAGAAATTCAGCTTCAAGCGGAGGCTCCCAGGGCCCCTCCCAGTCGGATTGTGCCCCCAGGCCTTGCCTTTGGGGACTTTTGGCACTGCAGTTGGTCCCCACCACACGGCACCCTTCTGGGCTCTATCCACCAGGCCAAAGCTGAATGTCACTTGAACACAACCTTCTGTAAAATAAAAGAAGGAAGAGAAATCTGACCGAAACCAAATCTAGTCACTATTTTAACAACTAAAAACCAAACATGGTGGTGGGGTGGGTTTTTTTTTCGGTTTTGGTTTCTAATGGCTGTTTTCAAATGGCCTGAAACGGGGGAACTCTCTCTTCCTATAGGTGACACATGAAGTCCCCTCTGTTACTCAGTAGGGACACAACTGTCAATATCTAACCATGTGAAGGGTACTGGGGTGGAAAGGACGGAGTCCTGGCCTGGGAGTCACAGTCATCAGGTGGCTGAGGGCGGCCGCTCCACCGCCCCGTGGGTCTCGGTGTGCCCGTCTGTGGAGTGGGCTGGCAGCCCCTGCCTCTTCGTGGTGCGGAGAGGAACTGCCTATTATTGCGAGCGCTCCCAGGGCCTCCAGGCGCCCAGCCCCCCAACTTGGAGGGCTGCACATGCAAGGTGGGGTCTCTCGGGCGCCTCCCTGGGCCGCCCTCGGCTCTCCGGTTGGGCAGTGAGGTTCGAGCGTGGGGAGCAAGGGGGGGCTGCCCCACTCGGGTCCGGCTGGTAACAGCCCTGCCTGTGCCTTGCCTCTGCAGGAAGGCTAACCACTCCGGAGAAGCCACGCTGCGGGAGAGCGCCAGCCCGCAGAGCGACGCGCTGACCCAGCTGGTCCAGCAGCCGGACATGATGTACTTCATCCTCTTCCTCTGGCTCCTGGTCTACTGCCTGCTGCTCTTCCCACAGCTGGACGTCACCAGGCTCTGACGCGTGTGTCAGCGTAATAAAGAGACAGGACCTTGCCGGGGTGCGAGATCTTTCTACTTCATTTTCTTTCGCGTTCTGGACAGGGCGCCTCTACAGACAGTTGAGGATCTGCCCAGAAACGTGGACTCCTTGATTTTCTTTGGTTTTTTTTTCCCTGTTTTTTTCCCCCTCGTGCGTCCTAAGCATGCTTTCTCTCTGGCTGCGTACTCAACACTCAGGGGTGTGCCAGATCCTTGGGTGGGCTTTGTTCCTGTGTGCCTTGCTTTGTCAGTTACTAGTGTGTAGCCATAACCCGGCCTGAGCCCCTCCCACACCAGGTTCTTAAGGTCCTGGATGGATGTGAGTTACTTACCTCTCCGATGAGGGTCCTCCCGATGGAAAGAGGGTGGACATCCCAGGGAGAGCCTCTGCTGGGAAGAAAACGGCCACGTTTTCCTCCAGGAGGGGGTGTGTGTGAGTGAAGGTGCCTGGCGTCCCTGCACCTGTGTACTCTGGTGATGGGGGGACATCCAAGAGACACAGCTGCCAGCTCCGGGAGAGCACCTGGGAAGGGCGGAGTCCAGGCAGGGAAGTGAGCGCTGTGTCATGAGCTGCAGGGCACTCTTTATCTCCCTAGGTTTTGGGGTTGTGAGCGGGGAAAGTGGGATGCACTTTACATTTACTTTTGCCGTGATGGAATTAAGGGAAACCTGGATTTTCCAATCTTTTCCACCAATGCAATCCTTCCAAATGAAGCCTTGGGCGGGGTGTGGACAGCCCAGAGGACAGATAAAAGTGGGGCTCTGGCTGACTCAGGGCGGGCCTGCGGTCCCTCCCACTTTGCCTGGCCGCCCCCCGGCTTCCTTCAGTGGCGCCTGAGGTATCTGTGCTGATCCTTGAGGCCCCTCCAGGCGCTGCAAAGCCCTAAAAAGAGCCTGAGGAGGAGAGCTGAGGACAAGCCCCAGCTAATGGGAGGGCTGGACACGGCTCAGCAGGTTCCTGCCCTGAGAGAGGCTTTGCGCTCACCTGCCGCGGGGTGCACTCTCGGCCCTGGCATCCTTTGCGGTCCTTCACAGTGGGTTTCTTGGAAAGGCTTTCTTTCTGGACGACACCCCGAGAAGTAGACCAGAACAGGCAGTGGTTTGTGAGGGGACGGGGGGCGCCCCTCCGTCCTTCCCTCGTCCAGCCGGGACTCCCTCCGTGCCTGGGCGCCTGCGGAGAGGCAGGTCATGGTGATGGTCCGTTGCTTTCCCCTCCCATTGTCCTCCCTGCAGAGAGCATGAATTAGGTGACACGTGTGGCATCGCAAACTCTTAGATCTGAAGGGACCGTCCAGCCGAACCCAGAGAGGCAGAGTGGGGCGTCCAAGGTCGTCCCCCCGACAGGGAGCCGACTCCGCACACCACCAGGCCCCTGAGCGCCCAGTCCAGAGCTCTCGCCACGTTAGGGGTCTTCCATGGTGCCCATGAATGCCCGGGGTGGGGGGGAGGGAGAAGGGTAAAATGATTGGATGAAAATGGCCTCATTTCAACACCAGAATTTTTATGCCAATCTTCAACCTTCGCTTTGTTCTCATATTTTTTCCCACGAAGTTGTATTCACTTTCAGGCTCGTCCCCTGTCACGTCTGGGGGACCCTTGACAGCTCTAACAGCCTGTCGGCTGACGCACCAGCGTTGCTCTCACTCCAGGGCTCACAGTCCTCTCAGCGAGCCAAGGACTCCCTTATTTCCAGCAGCAAGGTTCAAGTTTACAGCATTCCAACATGGCCAAGAGCATTTGCACAGCACATTGGCGTCGACGACGGCACCAGTTCGGCCTCTGACCCACTCCGGTTACAGCCGGCCTTCCCTCCACGAACGGGGGCTGAGCCTTCCCAGCCGAACGCTGCTGGGAGCTTGGAGGGGTTCCATCTTGAAGGCCAAGTGTCCCGTGGAAAATGAGCTAATTAATGAGCGCCCTGGCATCATGGAATGCTCAAAGGTACAGACAATAAAGATTACATGTGTGCTATTTTATAACCCTGAACTCCATGCAGTGCGCGCCTCAATTAGATGCCTGAAGAGCCAGGGAAGAGCTGACCCACACGTTAATCATTTCATTTACAGGTCTAGACTCTGTTGAGAAAAATCTCTGCAGGCTTCTTTTCTCACCCAGTACAACTTGTAATATTGTTTAAAACCATCGACTGGCAAGATGCCGAAAAGTCATTTGGTTCAGGCTGGCAGCAAACTGGTTGGTTTTTTTTTTAAGGGAAAAAAAATTTCTCATTTGAGTATAGGCTCATATGGAAGAAGGTGGATATTAACAGTGGATAACAGTGGATAGAGAAGTCTGCAGGACAAAACATCCCACGGTTTATAATTTTTCAAAAAAAATTCATTTTAGACTCTCATCCAAGTAATACATGTTCATAGTTTAAAAGAAACAAACACTATAAGGCTTTTAATGAAAAGCAGCCCCCTGAGTCTTGCTCCCTAGAAGTAACACTTGTAACTCTATCTAATATTTACCTTTGCATCTCTACATGACAGGCTCATACTTTTATTTTTTTTTAAATTAATTTAGAAGCATCTACTGACTTGCTATTATGACAAATGAGGCTCTCACTCCTCCCCATCCCCACTTTGTTTTGCCTGTGTGGTTAGATCATACTGTTTGGTGCATCACTGTGTTCAGCGTGGCTACGTAGGGACTGTGTTTACTCCTGAACCACGTAGCGTACTGTGCTTAATAGTCTTTCTTGTCGAATTTTTCCCCCTTGGTTTTTTTTTTTTTTCGGTGTAGCAGAGTCTTTAATAACTTCTTAAGAAAAGGAACATGGGAAGTAAACATTGTAAATATTTTGAGATTTTTGCATAACTTAAAATGCCTTTATTCTGCTCTTACCCAGGTGTGGTTTGGGATAGAAGTGGAGATGGAAAATAATGCCTTCTTCCCACCTCTGCCCACCCTCAACGTGGTTGCTGAGATTCTGACGCCATCCTGTGTCCCTAGTCCAGGGAACATTTACAATCCCTTCATTGTTAGTGTCCTGACCTGTCCCTATGGTGTTGTCCCCTTGATGGTGTACCTCGTGCTGATCTCCTGGGAGATGTCTTAAATTTTCTTGTGATTGTTCACCTTTCCCTCTGTACCGCCTATTGTTCCAATGTTGGACCTCTCCAGTTAACCCTTTAATATTTTTCGTCTTTCTATTTTTCGTCTCTTTATTTTTTTTATCTGCTTTCAGGAAGAGTTTTTCCGTTTTTCCTTCTCAACACACCTGATGAACATTTTATTTAATTTTTTATTTCCATGTCATTTTGTTTTGTCTCTTGTTTCTGTTTTCTAGTGTCTTGTTCTCGTTTCATGGGTGCAGGTGTTACGTGTCTCTGGATGTTTGTGATAGTGGTGGTTCTTGGAAGTTCTTTTCTGCTCTCTTTATCATTTTTGTTTCCTCCCAGTTTCATTTTTCTCAGTCTCAATCTCTGACTTTCATGTTACAAGATTTTTTGGGTTTTTTCCCCAAACATCTGGTGATCCTCTGGACCTGGTCATCTTTAAGAGTCACGCGTCAGGGAACGGATTGGGAGCTTGTTGTGGCAGCCGGTGGGCTTTTCTGCAGGGTCACCAGGCACACACCTAGACTCTTCACGGGAGGACCCCACATGGCAATATTTTCAGGTCTTTTTCTCTGGGGCTTACTGGGTATCTTTAGAGAGATTCCCGCTTCTCTCGTGCCTGGGAAAGAGGAGCACGCACAGGGCCGCCACTGGCCCACGCAGTGTCCCCATGCAATGCCATGTGTCCCCTCGGGCGGATGACTTAGGAAGAGATGCCCCCTTTGGGCAGAAGCCACCTTGGGCCCTTAGCTTGATTGGCAGAGTACCTACTGTCCCTTCCCCCAGGAAGATGGAGCCCTGCGCTAGGGCAAGAGCTGCCGAGCAGAGCAAAGGGTGAGATTTTAACTCCTCATTGTGCCTCCGCCAAGCACCCTTGTGCGGGGCCCTAGGAACCCAGAGATCCTAGCACACAGCCGCGTGCCAGCTCCTGACCTCTGAGCCGGCAGCCTCCTCCGAGTCGGCCTGTGGACTCACTGAGCTCCTCCTGCCTGGCTGGGCCTGCTGTCCCCGGGCTGGAGCTCCTCCGGTTCCTCCACGCGCGGGACGGCTGCCCGGGCTGTCCCTGGCGTGCCTCCGCGGCGCCCTCTGCCCTGAGCACTTCGGCAGCTCTGCCCCGGCACCTCCTGCCGCCACCTCCTTTCGACCCCTTGGTCTTCATGACTGTGTAACCTCCATTCCTTTGCTCTTCTTTTCACGGGACTTCACAGGGGAAGAAATGATCCCGTGTCTTCAATACGCCATCTTGAACCGCAGGTCCCATTTGGTTTTCTCCCCCTTGGTCAGGGCAGTTCAGTGCTCCGTGACTTGCCTGTGAACTTACCCTGAGTCCAGCTGGCGCTGTGGGGATGTCCATCCTGCCGAGCTGTGGTCTCTGGTGCCTTCCTATAATGCTGTGCAGGAGGGTGAAATAGCCTATGCAGGCTCTCTTGAGTGCCACGCTTAAAATAGTTATTCTCCTCTATCCCCCTTTTTTCACTCCTCCCCCCATGAGACATAGACCTCCCACCTCCCCACAAGCTCATAGTTTTCAGGTTTTCTCTGCTACCCTCGCTTCATTCAGCAACCAGTGGTCTACACTGGCGTTTGCCAGCAAACAAACAGCAGAGCCCCTCTGTTGATTGGCTATTTGGAGCTGGGTGAGCATTCCCTCCTGGCCAGACCCACCAGGACCAGGCACCAGCAAAGACGTGCTCACTGCCCTCTAGATACCCACCCAGGACACGAGCTGCGTCTCCCTTCCTGAGGTTCAGCGTCGCTCCCCCGCTCTCTCCTCCGTGCAGCACTTGCCTGCTCTTAGTAAGAGTAGACGGTGGGAGGCAGAAGCATTTGGGGGCTGTCTGTGGAGTCCATCCTCATAAAGCATAGACTATTCATTAGCTTCGGGGATCACATAAGGGACCGGCACCTCGATGAAGAAATAGAAAACAAGATCAGGAAGGAGCAATGAGGTCACACTGCTAGTTGGTGCCCTCCGGAGGGACAGCTAGATTCCCAGTAAGGTTTCCTACAAAACTGAAGCCCCCAGCCCCTGAAGCTCGCCTGTCCTCCCCTCCCCCTCGCCCCCACCCAGCCAAGGACTCAGAACAGCCTGGGGTGAACGTCTCAAACTCAAGCCCGAGTGAACAAGGAAAAGAGCAGATCTTACTTGTAGCAATTCATCATGGCTTCCGGGTAACAGCTAGTCTGTGGTTCTCTCATTGAAGTGTGGTCCTATGCACTCTTTCATACCAGCTTGGTTTTTCTCAAATGCCCAGAAGGACTCCAGAAATCCCACCAGAGTTCTGAGACACGGCCTCTCTCCTCTCTGCTTGGAGATCACCCTTGAGGGACCTCCATCGAGGGACGTGCCTATGGTCAGCTTTACCACCCAAAGTCCCCGAAGTGGGCTGTGTTGGAGCTTTGAGCCAGTGTGGCTTCTCAGAACCTCCTTGGTGATCCTCTTGCCAGGAAGCTGGTGCAAAGAGCTCTCCGGTCCCGACATTGCATAATCTCCACCGAAACCACCTTCAGGGAAGATTTAAAGTCCTGGGCCCGCTCCGCGTCGGGAGCCCCCACAGAGAGCAGGTGACTGTTCTGGCCGATCCAGCTCGTGAGCGGGGCTGCTCTGATGACGAGGTCCAGGTGCTGGGGTGCGTGGGCAGCCGCTGCGAGCTGGTGTGGGTGATATCATGCTTATTTGCTAGAAATTGCTGTGGAGTTTGCCTTAAGAGTT